AGGAGGAAGGAGACAGGAGGAAGGAGGAAGAAGAAAGGGAGGAAGGAGACAGGAGGAAGGGAGAAAAGGAGGAAGGAGGAAGGGAGAAAGGGAGAAAGGGAGGAAGGAGGAAGGAGGAAGGAGGAAGAGAGGAAGAGGGAAGGGAGAAAAGGAGGAAGGAGGAAGGGAGAAGTTACTCGGGGGCACAGCTGGGCAGCCCAGGTGTTGCTGTAAAGGCCCTTCCCTCAGGTCCAGACAGACGGGGGCAGCTTTCCTGACATTTCCATGCTTTTAGGCTTCATTTTGCCTGTGGGATACTGCGTCCAAAGGCTTCTGGATACAATACTGCATCGACAGAAGGGATTTGGTCTGTAACCATGCTGAGAACCTAGAAACACTGCAAAATCCAGATAAAACCCAAACTGCCAGCCAGGCACCAGCCTGCACCCTCCTGAGATTCAAGGGCCCCGTGGATGGGGCCTCAGTGCATCTTCCTGGCCCTCGCAGGGGGTCCTGGGAACAAAGGGGACCTGGCTTCCCTTGGTGTCCAATGACACAGGCAGGTGTGGCCATCAGCCTGTCCAGAGGGGTCTGGGAGGAGTGGCTGCAGAGTCCTGGGGACTTGGACTCAGCACTCACTCTCAGCTCTGCAGCCAAGCAGGAGGCAGGAAGCGCTCCCGGAGCCGCCTAGGTGGGCAGAGGAGCTCTCAGACCTGTGGGCTGCCCCGTGGCAGGGCCCAGGCCAGGCCCACCTCGCAGCCACTCTGGCATGAGCTGCGCAAGAGGCAGGGAGGGGCTCTTGGGGAAGGTTGGTCTTTGTTGGCACTTGAACAACGGGCGGCCCCAGTCACAGAACATGTCCCTGGCCACGCTTGGCGGCTCTCCCTGGCCTCCGGGGCAGAAATGCGGGGGGCTGGACTCACCCGGGGCTACGCCGTACCGCTCCTGCAGACGCAAGACCTGCCTGCTCAGCACCTTCGGACTCAGCTTCTCCAGGCTCAAGGAGGTCACCTCAGGGTACTGTCTGTGGGGAGAGAGAGGCACAGCCTCTGTTGCTGTTTTAAGTTAATACATTTTAAGATTTCTGTTTTCATCAAAGTCATATGCATGCATAGTTCAAACCTCAAGTGAGGTTTATAAGAAAATGCAGGTGTCACCCCCCAGCCCTGCCCACCCCATCCTTAGCACTTGCAGGTCGACATTGAAATGGTTGTGCATCAAGGTCAGGAGATCGAGACCATCCTGGCTAACACGGTGAAACCCCGTCTCTACTAAAAAAAGATACAAAAAACTAGCCGGGCGAGGTGGCGGGCGCCTGTAGTCCCAGCTACTCGGGAGGCTGAGGCAGGAGAATGGCGT